TAAAAGACTGCAAGCAAACACATAATTTTTGTGTGAGATTTTGTTTCAAAAGAGAAGGTTACAACAAATATCCGGTCTGTATACTTTTGTCCCTATTAGTAAATTTAAAGCCTTCCCCTACTCTTCAAGTATGTGTACCAGTTATCCTAACCTAACCTAAAAACTAACCAAACTTCATGGCACCCTAACCCTTACTTGACCTTCTACTTCTTAGTTCATAGAAACTAAAAATGAACATGATGAGAAAAAAATATGCCAACTTGTTAACAGACTGAGGCGTCTATAATCTGTATCTCCATAAATAATCATACAGTCCAACCTGCCACCAGGCAAGGAAGGGGGGAAAGCGAGGTGCTGTTACCCCACCCACGAAAGCCCTGAGTGGTGCAGATGGTCAGGTTAGTGTGGGTGTGAAATTTTACTGATGCTTGAATTCTAAGTGCCCAAGTGGTGAACCCGCCGGGAAATTCTTGGTAGCCTGATGTGTGAAACCTGACCACTGATTGCTGTCCTGATCATACAGCTAGTCACGATAAAAGTTTCTAAATTGTTACAAGTGGAGGAGGGGTGGCATGGGTTTATTGTGCACAGTACATCAATAGATGAAGCTATGGGTGGAAGCAAAGGAGACCATCAATTGTTTCTGATTTTAATAGGTCAAAGTGTTTCCACAGAGATATGAGCACTGGTGACAAAGGATTAGTAAGAACGACGCAAAGTTTCTATTGTGGTGGTGTAGAATATCAGAAGGATGGATGGATTCAGATTGAAAGACTTAAGTTTCTTCAGAAAGTACAGCCTCTGATTTACCTTTTAACGATATTGCTTACATGATTTTGCCATGTAAATTTGATGTCAATTGTGAGACCAAGATATTTGTATGAATCTGTGATTTCAAGTATTTCTTGTTCAATGACGAGTGGTGGGATTGTTGGTTTTTCCCTTCTAAAATAAAAAATCATTTCCTTTGTTTTTGAGAGGTTCACTTTTAGAAAATTTGAATTGCACCATTTACATACATATTGCCTCGAAATACTCTTTTTAATCAAGGTTTATTAATCCAATAATAACGGAGTCATCTGCAAACTTAATTAAAAGCGTGTTGATTTATATGTTTACTTCTATTATTGTGGGTATATATTGTATACAAAACTGGTGACAAAACACAGCCCTGAGGACCGCCGATGTTAAAAATGATTGTGTCAGATTTTGTGTTGCTCAGCTTAACATATTGTGGTCTGCCTGTCAAAAATTCCAGGACCTATGCTGCGATATGATGACTAACTCTCAGACTCAGAAGTTTTTCAATGACAATATGAAGTTGAATTGTAATAAATGCTGAGGAAAAATCAACAAAAAGTACCGTCGTGTATACATTTTAGATGTTTCAAGGTGTTTCAGTATAGAGTAAAAAAACCCCAAGTACAGCATCTTCTACGTTCCTCTCCTGTTTGTATGCAAACTGGAATGGATCTAATCTAGATTTCCATGAACACATCCTAGAATATTTGAGAGCATCAATTTTTCAAGGCACTTGAAATTGGAAAGCAATGGATGTAAGAGCGACAGGTCTAAAATCATTTAATTCATATATTTTAGGCTTTTTCGGTATTGGTATTACCTCCGATGTTTTCCATATTAAAGGAATGTAATTTTTTTTTTGTATGGTCAGGTTAAAAATGAAGGAAAATATCGGGGCCAGTTGCTCACAACAAGTTCTTAAAACTCTCCCTTTCACTCCGTCTGGACCACAGGCTTTGTACATTAACAAAGCCTATGGTCCAGACAGAGTCAGTGAAAGGGAGAGTGTAAAGAACTTGTAGTTCATCATACTACATTTTACAAGTTGACGTTTAAAAGAACAATAGAGTTGAGTTCGATGTATAGATTTAGTAGAAAAATAAGATGTAAAAAATATTAAGTGGGTTTGTTGTTTCTTTTCAAGAAAAGGCTTTCCTTCACAAGCGATTAAACGTAGAACGACGCAAACTATTTTTAGGTAAGATGGCCATCTTGTACGACGTCAGACCAGGACACCGCTCCGATCATGTGACTACATCTAAATACAGTAGTCTCCGCCTAAGATCCCGGTGCTCGGGAGCAAGAAAATGCGGGATCTTAGGCGAACCGGGATCTTAGCCGACGAACCCAGTTTTAAGAATCCATGGTGACCCATGCTAAGCTCACAATCGATAAAATGGTCTCCCTCCACTCTAAAATGAACTGACGTGACCACTTGGTGGGTTTATGGCATATGGCGAGCAAAGAGTGGTTAAACTTGATGACCTATCACAGTGTATAGTGGGATGAGGCGTGTCATTTTCACTTACTATCCTATCATGAGTCTCAAGATCTACGCTTATCCAGTTGCTCCTCCCCCTTTCCTGTCGAAAATTTATAGCTTTCCATCTCTGACCGAGCCCCCCCCCCCTCCCCCAGACTGTCTTGCAAATTTGGGAGAAGAGACAACTTCTGCAATGGTCAGGGAAGAGTTCACAGTTCAATGTGATCCCGCCTGGAGCGAACGTGTAGGCCCTACCCACCCAGCGAGTGACGTAAGTTTAGGGGGAGAGCTCAGGTGTGAGTGCGATGTTCAGGGAAAACAAACGTCGGTCAGTTCACACCCCGGTGTGATTCCATTTGGGGCAAACTTTGTATCGCTTCATCGAGTTTTACATGTATGTGACCACATTCACGATAGTGGCTGATTTTCAACGAGACAGACAGTTTATTGATCTCAACTTTTCACTCTTGGTTGATCGGCTGTCCCGCCCGGGTTTTTGTTCAGCAAATTATGATCTGAAATGCGGGATCTTAGCCAAATGTAGACCTTCAGAGTGATTTAGAGCGGGATCTTAGGGGTAACTTTTGTATAGTAAAAATTCTGTTTTCTTGAAACAGCGGGATCTTAAGCGAATCGGGATCGCAGGCGGTGGGACCTTAGGCGGAGACTACTGTATAGCCAACCGCTTGGCACCAAAGATGGAAGTGTCTACGTATATCAAGCTTAATCTACCTCTCGCTGTTGGAAGTTCTGATGGCAGATTGGACAGCGTGCCTGCGTTTAGAATCATGCAATTACGGTGGGTGGCGCATTCAACGGGGTCAGAATTCAACAAGAAGTCAGCTCCAACGAGGCAATCTTTAATCCCCGATTTTTCCTCTATATATCTCTTTGTAAATGTACGTCGGCTTCTACGAGGTTGCAAACAGACCGAAGTAGCTTTCAACGGGGTCGCGATAACCAAATAACAGCAATTAGCGGCCACAAAAGCGAAAAAGTTTCCCCTTGCTCTCCATCTCACACGAAGCACAAGGCCCACCCTTGATTCCTAATACACTGTATTGCTAGATCTAATGTGCCTCGTAATATGTGCCCCAATGCCAAGAGGATGGGCGAGGGTTAGCCTACGGTATGGATGGGAGGGGGTGAGTGGGAACGCGATGCAGGCTGTGAGATAATGGATGAACTCTGTAGAGGTAGGTCTAGATCAGAAAATCCAAACTCCCGCCTTCACTTTATGTAGATCTAGGCCTAGATGTGAGAGGGTATGTTTCCACACGAGAAGTGTTCCAAAAAAAATAAAAATTTTTGAAAGCACAAATGACGGTCAGAACGTTGTTTTTTTTGGCTCTTCTCTTCCTCCCGACTGACCAACAGTTTGTCCCATTAATTATAATTTGTAGCTTTGAAGTTGTTTTTAGCGATGAAACATGCAGGAAGGGGGGGGGGGGGGGAAATCCTCTGGCGTCATTACGACAGTTTCCGTACGGTTTATTGTCTTTGCGTTTACTGTGTTTCAATTTCAAGCATCAGAGTCCTTAATCTTACTGTTGTTCTGAGCATCAACAATCTAGATCTAAGCGATCTTCCCTCATGTCAAAGTATTAGGAATTCCGAAATGTATTAACATACACCGAAAACACATCATTCCATGCGGTACCTCCACGGCTTTCTTAAAATAGTCTGTGGGTATCTCAGGACAGGAAGTGATGACATCACATTGCTAAAATTAGCTGCCAATCAGGAAGATGCGTCGTTCTACGTTTAACGGCATGTCTTTCCTTACTCACACAGTGGCTCATTTTGTACTGAAAATTAGCAGCGCATCTCTGGCTCTCTTTCGGATAAAATTAAAATAAAACAACGATACCAAGTATTTATTATTTTATGTCAGTATCGATAGCCTACTCTTCTTGGGGGCCAAAACCGGAGAATGCCCACAAATATACCTGCTGATCCTGGGCCAAGGGAGCTAGCTCTAGCACCAAACACTAACACTGCTGATCACTAACAGGACTTAACAATCATCAGTTTTAAAATCAAGGTTAGCGGCAGTGTGGTCGGCTTATCCAGAAGAGGGCAAGCAATTGAGCCTAGAAGTCTAAAAACTGTGAGTAACAGCAATCTAGCCTTCAGCCCTAAATCATTAGTCGGTGCCATAGATAATCTAAGTCTGCCCACAAACAACGATACGGCCATTCACTTGGCGGGAGGACTTCCGTAATGAGCGACCACTATAAGTTATAAGACAGAGCAGAATTGAGGACTTGGGGTAGAGGTACTAGGGATAGGGGTAGGGGTAGGGATAAGGGTAGGGGTAGGGTTAGAGTTAGGGTTAGGGTACGGTTAGATAAGATAAAGGCCTCTTCTTTATTGTGTTTGATGGGGTGGTCACTCGTTACGGAAGTCCTTCCCACTTGGTCTAGATCTAGATCTAGATTCTAGATCTACTTACTAAATCTATCATTCATACTCATACTGTCATGTGTAGAAATCTAATAATAATTCTAGATCTATCTAGATATCTAGATCTAGAATCTTGAGTTTGAGTTTGAGTAAGTCACTGTAAGTTACTAGTTGAGTGTCTTGAGTAGATCTAGTCTAGAGAGTCTGTTCCGAAAGCAAAAACGAACATAAATGAAGCAAAAATGTGTCAGAGTGTCCTCGTTTTAACCCTGATGAGCTCGCACAAGAACAAAGTCAAATGATTACTTACAACATTTTACATGGTATTGCACTCAACTTCGTCACTTCTTGTGTTCCCCGTCCACCCTTTCATTGTTTATATCTCACGTCTCGCTGCTTTCTTTGAGAAATAGTCTAGAGTGACTTCCCCTGGATAAGGGGTACTACTCTTTTATTGTTGAAATATTCGATGATACAGAGTTATAATCCGTGATTAATACATGTATATAAATTAACTCTTCCATCATTCCTTTAGATCTAGATAAACGTCAGAATTTTACACATTGTAGATCTACAGAATAGCAATCTCTACATAAAACTGAACATCACAACACGTGGGCAGAATTAAAGTTCACTGTTGAACACGGCTATTCACTGTTCCACTCAAGGAATTCTTTTCTCAATTGTAATGACGTAGCACAAACCAACAACATAAAAACATAATTAATTTTTATGTATTCCTAAATTGTTGAGCTTTGTATCATAGTTTTTTACTAGATACAATAAGCTACCACTCTATACCACTAATTTAGAAGTTGCAGCTTTGTGCTCCGTGGTTGATTAAATCACTGAACTTCAGTCACTCTTTAAGTTTTGTTGTGATTGTAGTTTTCGTCTCATAGGCAATGTATCTTTGACTTTGATAGCATCAGTATACATGTATCTAGTGTTTGTTTTGTCTTGCTATCCAGTTCATGCCCCATGATCCATGCAAGTGATCCATGAGGCCAGTAAACGTGGAAGCTAATCCAGGTTGCCGTGGATACACTGAATGAAACGATTTAATTGATGCTCTGCAGCCTGTAGCAACAAGTGTCTCTATCGGTGGGAAAAATCTGTGAAAGTGCCTTCCCCAAGGACACAATGTCGGGTCGAGTGGAGCCTTGAACACAAGAGAGAAAGAGCAAGGGTGAGAGAGAGAGAGGGGGGGGGGGGGGACTGACAGACAGACAGACAGACAGACAGACAGATAGATAAGGCTGTCCCTGAAGTTTTATGAAAAACAAATTCTGAAAGTATGCAAACTGAGCCCAAAAATGTGAAATTATGCGATTCTGTTAATTTTAACAAAGAATGATAAAGTATAAAGGACAATAATCAGAAATTACACTAAAAAAGATCAAATTTGGCTAAATTATGCGGGGTGCTTAAAACCCCGGGGACAGATAAGGGGAAGGAGGGGGATGGAGAGAAGTATAAGAGTTGTAAAAGAACACAAAGAAAAATATACGAGGAGGAGGAGGAGAGGGAGAGAGAAAGAGAGAGAGAGGGAGAGAGAAAGAGAGAGAGAGAGAGAGAGAGAGAGAGAGAGAGAGAGAGAGAGAGAGAGAGAGAGAGAGAGAGAGAGAGAGAGAGCAGGAGTGAGAGAGCAGGAGTGAGAGAATTAGGGGGAGGAATAGAGAAAGATAGAGGATAAAGATAAAACATGTAGAGGAGATAAAGAGGAGGGGAGAAGAGAGAAGAAGAATATTAATAATACTATGGAAAAGGAAAGGTATTTCTGCCATTATTCATTAATATATGTCTATATGATAAAGTGATGAGTAGTAATGCCTTTCCTTTTCCATGTAGCCAAGTACATAAAATTGACACAAAAAACACAAAAGATTTCAAAAGAACAATTGAAGTAATTTCCTTTTGTACCACTATTTGAATTAACATTGCAAACATTTTGATTCCATTTATAGTACATATAAACCTGTCATTGTGCATTCCAAGAATACTGCTCATTTATTTCATTTAATGCATGGCTGTCATTACAAGACAGACAGCAGCACTGCACAGACACATTTTCACCTGCAAATAAAAGAATCAAAATAGACAAGTAGGCCTATACTACAATAACAAAGGACTAGTATAAGTATCCTGTGCAAGAAAGCTATAACACTAAAGTGTCATGTACTACTTCACTTGAACAGTTGAGCCTGTCCAAGATGGGAATCACATGGAGACCAGACAAAAATTCCATCTTAAACTTTACGTCTTGGTCAAGGGAAGTTGGGAGGGCTAGCCACTTTTTAAAGAAACAATATGTAGGAGAAGGATGTCTTATCATCCACAGACACAATTTAAATTTAGATTATGCAAAAGGTGGACTTTGGCCCTACCGGGCTTAGAAAGATACAACGTCCCATTGGAAAGACTGAGATACTTGATAAAATGCTCACCCTTTCGAGTGAGACTGTATGCGACAGCGAAGTACATAACTGCTGCGCTTAAGATGCAGCATGCCACTTTGATCAAGGATCACCTGTCCAGCCGGTAAAAAGCGGTGACAGTTCCCACCTCGCAAGTGCTATCCTCGCCACTCGGATAATGTAATGAAAAAGTTTTACTAATCTAGTGTCATAAAAGTTCTTGCATCTCATTAGAACCACTGTTTGATCAATTAAAAACAGAAATGAAAGAACATCTCCTTCACTTCCATCGTTGGTACCCTTCACTCAGGGCTCACATGGGTGGGGTAACAACTACCCCCAAACCACACCCCTTCTCCCATTCCTTGCGTGGTGGATTGGGGTAAAGGTTAGAGCTGATGGAACCAAACTGCAGAGTTTTGTTTCAAATCAAAGTTGAGCAGCCATGCATTTTCTGTCTTCGAAAAGCCAAAATCTTTAATTAAAGCAAAAGAATTTTTCTGTCAGTTTCCAGGATATGAAGGTTTCTGTTTGAGACAGATGTATTATAATAGAGGGATTTATCAAGGGGTAGAAGGAGGATTCTGTTATAGACTGGTTTCTGTTAAGGCAGGTTTAACTGTAGTTTTCTTCATCAAATTGTAAGCACATATTAAGCCATGTGAATTCCCCAAGGTTGAATTCGGTCTCATTATTAAATTCAAATCTATAAGTAAGATAAGAAGTTAAGTTAAACTACAACTTGTGGGCATATACATTATTGCGTTAACTTAACAATAATTAAAAAACTGTTGAAGATTTATTCTCAATTTAGAATTGATAACTACTGCATTTTGGGGCAAAAAAAGTGTGAGAAAACGATGAAACTATAAATATGTAAAATATCCTTATGTATCTCATGCCCTCAGTGTCTGTACTTGAAAGAGCCTCATGAAAAGTACTAAGTGAGAGTACTTCTTTCAATCTACTTCATCAGAATTGATTTTCATGTTTATATATACCATGTCAGCTTGATATCTGACAGAGGTAAAATGAGGCTCACTCCCTGGTGGAGATAAAAAGCAAGTATATAAATACAATGTAATGTGAAAGCATTAGGCATGCGGTCATTTTTTGTTCAATCAAACTAGGAGCAAGTACATGAGGCCACTAGTATAGACAACCAACAGCCAAACATTCAGTCATATTACCACTTGGCACTGACAATTTGTCAATGTGCATTGATCGGAAACCCATCACAACCTCAAAATTTGAAAACAACCAAAGCTGTTCCCGTAAAAATTGTTTGGTTACATTTCTTCAAAATATCACAATAAAACAATGTTTTGATGCCTCCTTAGTGAGTTACAGTAGTAATTTATTTGAGCCATGACGATACAGGAATGTGCAAATTATGTTGTGAATGGCAATAACAACAAAAACTTGAGAGAACCACAGAGATAAGTCATTCTGTAAGCTTTATCAATAAACACATTGCAGTTCGGTTAGTAGAAAAACTATTAAACTTTCTTCTGTCCTTATAATGTCAAAATATTTGCTGTCAATTTTTTCTGGAGTATATTACAAATTCCTCAACAAAATTCAGATTATCAGGGAAGCAGTTAAATTCGGCACTTATTTATACCGAGAAGACCCGAGAAAACCCGAAAAGACAGCCGAAAAGACCCGAGAAGAAACGAAAAGACACTAAATGACCCGAAAAGACATACATGTTTTTTTATTCATTGTTTATTTATTTGTTGTCACCTCACCACTTCTGTAAAAACAAAAATAATGTCGATCCCTTGAGGAGCCACTCTTAAAAAACTTAAAACACTTACAGTGACACTCATTTCTTTCACTTGCTTGAAGGGGGTATTATTATATCGATCTGTTTGTGACAAATAAATAAACAACAAATAAATAAACAATAAATAAATAAACCATGTAGGTCTTTTGGGGTCATTTAGTGTCTTTTCGTGTCTTCTCGGGTCTTTTCGGCTGTCTTCTCGGGTCTTCTCTGTTTTTTTTGGGTCTTCTTGGGTTTTCTCGGTAAAAATAAGTACCCGTTAAATTTGATTTTGATGGAACAGCCAACCTATGCAAAATTCCAACACTTCCTTGAAGTTACAAAAGTAAAAAAGATTAGAATGCAGATAGCGAATTCAATGGGATGCGGAAATGTTTTTGTTTAGTACGAATTCTGCTTTGTATGAATTTCAGGCTATACGGTTATGTATTTAATTAAGAAAAATTCAGACTTGAAAATTTGTTCGCTGTGTGTGTTCACTATTTGCATGCTAGACCATATGATTCAAAGAGTCACATTTAACATGCAATTCAAATTACAAGCTAGTTAGCATAAAATGCTACAGATCTACAAGAAATGCAATGACAGCAACAACATGAGTAGTCTAATTCCATGATGATTTGATTGTTATGTGTATGTTAAATGGCCATGAAAAGATGAGTATTTCATCATATGAAGCACCCGTGGGCATCATCCTACTTAAGTTAATAACTGGAAGACTCTGTCAAGGCAAAAGAAACAGTAAAGCAATTTTATCACGCCTTCCTTTTGTGATCAGTGTTGTACTAACATCAGATAAATATATATATGTTCTATCCCTATTTAAAAAAATTAAATTTTCAAATATCAATTCAGATTTCCAACACGGAACTCTGAAAGACAGTTGCAAAGGGATCTATTTGAAATTTGTTGCTGGATTATGATGCATGAAATTTAATGAAAAGTAAGCATTGGGTTCGAAACAGTGTAAGCTGAAATTAAACTGCAAGGCAAAAATTATTATGCTCTCCTTCCCCTGTTCCTCTTTGTTCTACTAGTCATTTAGACAATCATGTATAACAACTGTATTATGCCCATCAAAGATAAGATGTGAGTTTTGGAATATAGACAGTAGCTAGAATCTCTGTGCTTACAGTTGTTTATCTAGTTCAGTCAGCAATTCTACAGTGAGTGAAAGGACAGTTGCCTAAAATATTTTTTAGACAGCAAACAACCCTTCAACAGACATATCTTAAAGCTGTCTAGTGAAAAACAATAAGAAAAGGCAAACAATGTTCAGCAGATAAAGGCTTAGGATGTCTGGCACGAAGAACAAAAATTGAAGGAGAAAGAAGTAGTGAAAGTAGGAGGCAGGCATACTTCTATTTGTGTCACAACACAGCGGAACCAGGTGCTTGTAAATTTTTGGGCACGTGGTATCATTTTAAAGCTTGTTGACTTGTCCATCTTTTGATGAAAAAAAATACCCACCCATCTTGAACAGAAGTCGAGTTATTTGCGATTGAAGGAGGTGAGGGTCGCCTGGTTTCAGAAGTAAAATTAGTGAGAGAATGGCCGCCAAAGAATGGTGATTTCCTTAGCTTGAAAGTCCTTGTAAACAGAAAATGTACATTTTTTCGGCCTTTAATCTATGTTTTTCAGTGAAATCCACATAGAAATGTGTTTTTAAATGAACATAAAATGTGTTGGAAAAAAAACAAACAAAGTTCAACAAAAATCACTGTCATTTAATTATTTTGTAGAGTGCCTGATTTCACCATGATGCCTCACATTTAGAGAGTTTTAATTATAATAGGACTGCAATTAAAGGAATAAAATTATACTAATGATATGGTCTTGTTTTTAACAAGTGACCATAAAAAAAGTTTGTTTCAGATCTAGCACCAGGAAAGACAAGCACTTCCAAGAATCTTCAGAATAATAAATATATAACTCACCTTCTCCTTTAACAAAACAGTCACACAGCAAGATTTCATTTTTTTCTTTCAACAAAGTAACACATCATTCATACTGAAACTACCAAGACCTACATAGAATTCTTGATGTTATAGTAATTTCACTCCAGAGCTTTAAATTCAATAAGAAGTTATTTTAGAAAATGTGTTCAAAACAAAATGTATGCTTCAAATGACCAGTTCCAAAGCACCAAAACGTAAGAAGTACTCATTATATGAGCACATGCAATACTGTGAACAGTAATAAGTTGTTTGTGATAACGTCAAGTCCTGAAAAGTTCAAAGTGTGTGAGAGGACTGTCGTTACAGGGCATGGTCTTCAGCAGAGCTCCAGGTTCTATGCCAGTTGCCGTCAGACACTGAGCTGTTTCATAGTTCAGTAATCGCTCGTGTGTTTCCTGGGAAACAACACAATGAATATTTATGTTGAAAAACAAATACATTTGCAAAACTATATTTTGAGAATGAAATAACAGCTTTTAAAACCACAAGAAAAATTAATCTCTTTAAACACCTATGCCTCTATAAAATCTGACCATGTTAGAAAACCTAAGTCTCCCCTGGAAACAGATAAATCATATTTTCAAATGTCATGTGCTGTCTTATCATAGAACTTCTAACAATTATTGAACTAAATCTTTTGTCATGTAGAACACTGTTATACAATCATCTGGTTTAGTTCATACATTTCAGGTTATAGAGCACAAAAGAGTAATCTTGGCCTTATTTGTGAAGAAGACACTTCAATTTAGGAAACCTGACAACCAAGAGGAGAGTGAAGAATGAAGCTCCGAACAATATAATAAAATTTGCTCTCTCCCATCTAAGTTTAAAGCAGCCACTTTTATTACACAACACTCTGAAAAAAATAATAATAGAAATCTAGAGAATACAAAACTTATTAAATTAAAAAAAAAAGAAAGCCAAAGATTACCCAGTTCACTCACATTTCACGGCTGTTACCGACCGTCAACTTAGTCAAACCGCCAGCCCGCGGCACTCCCCATAACCCGCTACTCTGTGACCCTGGTCACCGCCACTGGTTAAGCGCCACCGGTTCACCGCCGATGCCCAGTTACAGTTGTTTTCTTATCACAACAGCCCATTAAAATGAGATCCCCCATGGAGACATCGCATCTTAAGATCAGGAGGTATTGGGGATCAAATCAATCAAAAATGACTGGAATAAAGTTTCCTGGGCACGGCCGAGGCGCGCCGGGAGTGCCGCAGCCATCACCGTACCTTGCACGGCTGACAGCTGATTTATTACCATCTCGGGGTGGCCGGCGGGAAACCCTTGCCCGGTAACTAAACTGGCGGTTTGGGGGCGATTTAGACAGCCGTGATTTGCCTTATTATCTAACTTGTAAAATAGAAGGAATGGGACAAAAAATCAGGGTATTAAAATCTTAGATTGCACTAATAAAAATACTTACCCTTTTTGACCATATCCAGGTTTGAGGGTTGGATCCTTTGCATTTCATGAGCCGGGCATATGGACCTTCCTCTCTGTTATAATCAAGGCACAAAAGGTTTGCCAGCCGCAGATCTTTTTGTTCAGTTTCATACCATAACTGGAATAGAATGAGTACCGTATCAAAATAACATTCATAGAAACTCAGTTTTATAACTTAGCATTCTCCTTGCCCTAAAATGTTTTATGAAGCAATATTATACAGAATTTCTTCCTTTTTGAATTATAAAAAATCACTGTTACCTTTTCATCATACTTCTCATGGTCGATTATTCAAAGTCGTAAAAAGAAGACTTGTGAAGGCTCAATTGAAGAAGGGCATAAACTTAAGTGACTGCTAAATCAGGAAAACAGGGCAAAATACAAACTCCATCAGCATGCTTAAAGCCCCTTCGAAATGTAACTGGGAAGTTGGTCAGCTTTATCTGCAATTTACATTGACAACCACTCAGTTGACATCATGCAAATAAAAGATACTGCTGTTGTCAAACAAATAATTAAAGTTTTAGTACAGTTGTGCATAAACTGTGAAATACTTTCATTGTCTCATTATTAATTTAACTAAAATATTCTTAATATGAATTCTAATGGGTCACCTCAGAAAAATTGCTTTTACCAAAGGAGAGGCTTCTGTTGCTACAATTTCCCTCTAGGTATTCAATGACCTATACAAATAAAACTCAGGATAATACATACTTGATCCTCATTTTTCCCATGTTTGCAGACTGCTAGCTGCAGGAGTGACCTCTTGTCATAAATAGACTTCTCCGACTGAACACAAAGACCAGAACCAGTATGCTTCAGCTGAACATGAAAAACAAGAAAAAGCAATCAAAGAATCATAATAGCAGGTTTACTTGAACTTTTCGAACTACAGTATAATCCACTTATATCAACAGCCGATGCATCGACATTATGACACATCGACATATTTTTCAATTACGAGATTTTTCCTTCAATATCTTCACAATTTCTCTTATATCAACTTTTTTTCGGCCCACTGGGCTTTATCGACATGCTTCCTGGGTACCTGGCAAAGCCTATGAACATAAATGGGGGGAAAAGCCACGCTAACGATCAACGCATTAGTTCATTAAGTCCGCATACCTGCAAAGTATCCTATTTGAGACACCAAGCTTTAGTAGGTCATGGAGGGTCTACACAGTGTAGTCTCCAACACAGTAGAGTGCCTCACAGACGTGAGCGTCTCGTGCACTGGGAATCACCTCCCTACCCCCCACTCCCGATCGCTCACTCCCCTTCCCCATCCCATTCTCAGTCTGTCGCTGGCAAGTGCCACGGTCAGTGAGTCAGTGCCTTGCCTTTCCATTTTCCCCAGCAAGCGGCTATAAACAGGCCTTACAAGGATGCTACAATAAAGTTTGCGCTGGTGTGTAGAGTGTGCCTTGCTCTGCTCGGTCTTTAGGACTGTAACTACAGCCCCACCCCCCCCCTCTGTCTCTTGTTAGTTTCACTGTGTAGTTGTGTAAGAATCAAGGGAAGCTACCAGTTTAAAAAATAGTGTTGTCTTTTTACAGCTTTTGTTTTTTCCTCTTTGGCTTTATATTTTCATTTATCGACATTTTTATATATCGACATCAAATCCACTTCCAAAAGCACGTCGATATAAGCAGATTATACTGTACTCTGATTTGATATTCACAAATAAACAAAGACTTTACCAGTAGAAAACTGCATGAATTTAAATGAACAGACACAAAGATGAAACAGGAATTTTGCACAAGACTTAAACTAATAGTGTGCGTATGGCTCTTTTCGTCTGTGCAGACGGTCAATTTAGCTTAAGATGGTCTCAAGGTTTTCTTCATGCAGCTTCTTTCATGGCTAATTCTTCCAACGTTGAAGCGCAGATTCTGTCGCAGTGCTTGCATGTCAGTGACGTGGAACGAAGCCCTGTATTTCCGTTGTTTTCCTTTCGTCGTTGGCACTTCTCAGCCTGGTTGTTTCTATGGCTGCTCTCTAGATTTATAGTTCTTTCCTTTATCATTTTCCTGCAAGTTTTCCTGTCCTCAGCTATTTCTTCCCAGATCCTAATATCTACTCCAAGTTTAGATAAACTGTTCTAGCAGCTGTCTGTGTAACTCAATTTTGGTCTTCCTCTTGGTCTCTTTCCCTGGGCAAGTTCTCCATTGAGAAGTTGCTTCGGAATCCAGTTGTCGTCCATTCTCTTGACATGGCCCAGCCATCTCAATCTTTTTAAACACAGGATAGATGTCATGCTCTGAAGGTTTGCCCGTGCCAATACTTCAACATTTGTAACCTTGTCACGCCACGAAATGCCTAAGATCTTGTAGCAGCATCTGAGATGGAAAATGTCGAGGCGCTTTTCTTGCCTGCTGTACAAGGTCCCGGTTTCAGATCCATAAAGGAGTGTGCTGAGGAGACTAATAGTAATAGCCCATAAATGCACAACACCAAAGCATGAATCACAAAGGGAAAACTCTAATATACAGAATAGATCTACTCCATAGCAAAGATTAGAGTTAGATATTGAGATGAGAGGAGACACAAAACAATTGGCACAGCCCACAAACACATAACACACTCTTAGAGTCAGAGTGCAAGTGAGTATGTGATCATGTGCACATGACCGGAGATGAGAAAGAGAAGGAAGAAATTTAAAAAATCAGTTTGAGCGCACTGAAAAAAAGCAACAAAAGATAAAGGGAACATGAGGTAGACATTCCCTACCTGGAAAAAGTTCCATCATGGTGGTGTTTGTTTGTGTAAAGAACAGCACATTGTCGACACAATAATGGTCATTTTGTGTTGGGAAAAGTAGGACCTACCAGTGGTTCCCACCAACTACTTGTTATCATGGTGAAAAATGCAACTTACCAAACCCCACGCTCTGATGGCTACTTCTGGAGCAGAGTTGATCTTCTTCTCTGAATTAGTTGGGTACAACGACCTGGCCAAATCTGGTAATTTCTGAAATATAAAGGAATTTAAATGAAAAAGTGGTCAACTTTTAAGAAGCTGGGTAAATTAGGACCAAACTTCAAAAGGTCAAAGAAGCAGCTAAATTGACTTGACATTGAATGCATAAATGATTTTCACATAGAGTAACAAGACTCAACATGACATTAAAAAGAAGAAAAAAAGCTTTTTAGACTTGCACTGTGCTGACAAGTAAAAAGAGCTGAGAGCTTTGTCAGCCCAGCTAGGATTTCAATAAGGAATATATCAAGGAAAACACCAGAAACTTGATTTCTGTCTCGATCAGTACTTGTCAAACTTTTATTGCCAGTGCCTACTTTTGCTACCTTTTAGAGGTTAAAATTTTTGTACCGCACACCAGTCTGTATTTCCAAACGAGGCACTAAATAATACCTGCCACTATCTGGGCGATCCCCTCTGCCCACCATAATAACCAGATCACCCACTAGTGGACAATAGCGCTCGGGTAACAAAACACTGGTCTAGATCTTCTACAGACTAGTCGTCTGTTAAAAGCACATTTCAATAAGTTCAAAGTATTGATTCTGATTGGCTAAGGAACAAAGCCTTGAAATGATAACTTATGTGTCTTCAGAGACTCTCTCCCACATCACTTGTGGGTCAAGAATCTTGACAATTGAGCTGACCGAATGACCCCTGAATGAGCAGACGTCAAAACAGGTAGCAGATGGTGACTCCTCCTTTGTGCACAGATCCCCACAGTCAGAGCTCTACAGGCTCATAGTGACCTTTCAAGTCAGATAAATCACCTCTTGAGTGGCTTCTAAATCAAAACTTTTGCCAGGTTTTATTTCTTGTATCAATACATTTCAGTAACAGTTGCAGCCGTGTTTCCCCCTTCTCCTTCCCATGAATGTTACAGCTTCCATCTTTTATAATGAGCATAATCTTTTTCTTTTGTATTACAGCTTTCACTCATAATGGCATTTTTCAAAATAAAAGTTGCATTGTCAAAGCTGACCAAATGTTGGCAGCAGTATTTTCCGTACCTGTAGTGCTGATGGGTATACATTATCAAGATACCACTGAAAAGACTTGCATTGTAGTCGATCTCTCAGCTCTAATCTGTCTTTAATGCTTCCATACTCCATATCCTCTGCACGTGGGTTGATATGGAAGTAGTATTTCTGTGGCACAGCAAACAAGTATTAGAAAGAACCAAGATTATCATTAGTTCTATAATGTAGTCATAAAAAGGTACCCCCATCGGTAAGATCAAAAAATGATACATGAATTTGAAGGACACTTTTTAAAAACCCTTCACAGTAAGAAAGTAAAGCATGCATTATGTTTTCCTTGCACTTGTGTCGATACTTTATCAAAACATATCAATAAAAAATTTGCATTCAAATGAACATGAGTATGACTCTACACAAAAGGTGAGGGAAAAATACTGGTAATGTCTAAACACATCTCCTTAAACTTTCATATAAGTTTCACATGAAATAAACAAATGAGAGTGAAAAATGACTAAACAATCTGACTGAACCCTTCTTTTGTAAGTCTCAGTTGAAGGTCACCAAATTTCTCTCTGACTGTCAAAATAATGGCTAAACAAAATGGTGTAAAATCCTTGCCTGTGTCACATCATTCATATATAACTAGCCACATGCTATCAAACCAAGGTTATTCCAATTTGATGTTCTTACACATCTATTTATTAACATGGCATTGGCCTACAATGCATCAATATTGCCAACTGACCTTGTAATCATCCATCCAAACATGCACCACCCTCAGAGTATTCTTTGTAAAGCTGTCTCTCACAGGTGAGCCATACGGACGCCTCTTTCGGAAGATATGCCCCACCCTAGAGCATGGTACAATCAAAAGCCGACCTCCACACTGCCAGATCTGCAAAAAACAATTCCAAATCTTGTTCTGGGGGACAATTGACCTAGTGGCAATTTGAGCGTTCTAGACTTCTTAGGACCCAAAAATGGGAACTGGACCTACTTGTTTCAACTTACCACTGATTCAGCATGACAATACAGACAAGTTTAATGGCTTGCAGATAGCTGCTGACATAGTTATTCTTATTTTCTGTGTAGCGAGCAAAGATTTCAATGCTAAAAAACAGGTGGACCTACTGGGTGAGGGAAAAAAAGGCCAATGTTGAATTTTGTAAGAACTTCATTTGCGGGTCCATATCAATCACATTTTTATGCTGCATAAATCAGCCATGGGGAACATCAGTTGTACAAATTTGACAGCAGTTCTCCCAAAAGCTTGGAGAAACATGACAGAGAATTCTTTAAATATTCACCCAGAATTTATTTGATTTACATGTAAGGTCTAAAATGAAGTATCAGCAATGGATCACTTTTCCTATCTGGGATTACTAAAAGCCTTTGAAGAACTTGTGAATGAGAAATCATTGCATTGAATTCACAGGGATTTCTCTGAGATTTTTTTACCTGATCTTGTCCATCTATCAAAAGACAATGGAATTGTATGAAAGAGGACATTATTTTATGCATGAAATATATGCCATTGACCCACCAACCTGAGAGCCAGAGGCTGTAACTTCAAATCTGAGAGCGACGGAATTCAAAGTAAGTTTCATACTGGGGTCAAATTTCAAATCTGTCATATTTCTTCATTGTTTTTCAAATGATTTCTGCCTCCTAAGGCCTGTTCTCTCTTGAGTGATTCAATTTGTTATGTAAAAGTGGGCATGTAGATGGAGATCTATTCAAATTCTACACAATTTCATGAGGGAAAACTGTGGCGTGCACAGCTTGTAATCAAATATGAAAGAAGAAATAAAGGCAGTAAAATTTAATACAGACTGTGACAAGAGCAAACCCTGAGAAAGAGAACAATACAAAATACAGTAAAACACAGAGAAGAAATTGTGTTTCAACTGAAGTCAAAGATAAACTGTCAGCAAGGCAGTATTGTTAAAGAAAATACTTTGACTTCAGATGAAACACAGTTTCTTTTATGTAATGACTTACTCGAAAGGATAATTCCAAATTTTCCCCACCCCAAATGTCCATGCCACTGTCATACTCTCCAAGCTCCTTGAAATATTTTCTGTCCATAGCAAACAATCCTCCAGCCATTGTTGGGGATCTGGAAAGTAGAAAACCATTCTTGTTGGAAAAAAAAAGAGAGAAAAAAAGAAAGAAAAAAAGAAAGAAAAAGAAGTCATAATCTTATCATGTGCTTTTTGAAGATTTATGTTGAGATAAGATAAAACCAAAGTCAGAGGGTAGAAAAACGGAAGAAAAAAACAAGCATAACAGAAGATACTCAAAAACAGGAGTCGAAATCTGAAAAAGAATCAGCAAACACTGAGAATAATTTTTTTTCTGAAACATATAGTTTACAGAAAACCTTGGAGAATCATCTCTTGACATGAACTGCCAGTGCAAAACTTGAGAAAAGGTGATTATAACTGACAAATTTACGTCTTTTGGAAACATATTTTCATCCTAATTGATTCACTACACCTAGAGTAGGCCTACTTTGATTTTGAGCCACAAACTGACTTGAGAGGATTTTTACTCCAAAAGCATTCATTGTATCAATCCAGAATAGGCGAGCCTTCTTTAACCCTGTTACTGTCAGTGGTAAACTTGCACTGCATCAGGGGAAACTCTTAGGAACAAGGGTGCCCCTTTAGACGTAAGAAAAGAGTGCATATGAAATATGATAAATACAAAGACAAGAAAACTATATATACTTGGAAAGCTCTTTGAAAACTCTATGGCACACTTGTGACCCCTAAAATCTGCCGGAAATCTTGGAGACTGCCGAGAACCCGACGAAGCTACTTTCACTGACTTGCAGAGTTGACACTGCAGGCAGTTCTATCCTCTGGCTCAAAAAGAATTCTATAACTACAAGAGGTCCTTCCTTTTAAAATAAGTACACTATCGTTCAGCGTCTGTATTTCAGGGGTTTGTGTAGACTGTTTTCAGAAACTGCCAATGTTATTGGCAGTAACACTTTGGTGGCAAATCAGCACTTGCCAGTAATTGGGTTACGGCAAACCTAACATTACACTCTTATCACTAAGAAAATCCCTCCATTAGTGCTTGAAACATGTGCATAGTCTTGAAACTGCTAAAAAAAATACTGATTAGAAGCTACGAAAAGCACACAGTTATATTGTACAGGTGAATCCCAAGGATTATCAAACGTTATAGGAAAATTGTCCTCTCCTCCATTTAACCATTTAACTTTCTTATCTGAAGCAAATAAAAATCACTCACACAAAAGGATCAGCTTTGGAAAACACAGCTCTACTGTCTTCAAGGGGAAGAGGATCCCACTGGAAGTGCATTCCCCAGTTGAAACCTCCTCTTACCAGGCCTGCCGGCTCATAATAAAAGGTGTCGGAATCAACAATGTCCATGAGTGGCACAGCCACTGTCTGTCGGTCAGAGTGAACGACTGCCAGTAGAGGTTCCAGCCAACCCACATTTACTTCACAGTGGCTGTCTAGGAAGAGCAATACCTGGAAGAAGTAATTGTAAAAGTTAAATATGCTGCACATGACAACTTTGAAGAAATGTTTCCCAAAGAGCTGCATGGTACGAAGCTTTGAGACTTCAGCCCTCATGTTTTAGACACTGGACTTTTCAGTCTTTAGGACTCTCATATCTGTTAAAACTAAACACATATTCTCAAATTTCAAACCGTACTTGTAAACAGAGTGTGAAGAATTGTGTCACGGCGTGGTGGAATCAGGCGCTCGTCAATTTTTGGGCATATGGGCTTATTGGTATTACCTTAACGCCTGTTCATTTGCCTTCCTTTTGGTGAAAAAAATATCCATCTTAGTTGAATAGAAGTCTAGATATATATGCAATTGAAGGAGGTCAGGGTCGCCTGGTTTCAGAGGTAAAATTAGCGAGAAAATGGCCACCAAAGTTTGGTAGTTTGGTAACTTCCATAGCCTGAGAGTCCTTGGAAACTGAAAATTTACATTTTTCGTAGTGTTCCCGATTATTGAAAGCTAGGAATCTTAGGAATTGACCCTGAACCCAATTACTTACTTTCTAACGATGTGATTTCTTCTGGTGGTTACCTAAATGGCTCCGAACATCTTTGGGAATTAGGAGAACCTTGATTTCGGAACACTACGAAGCATCAACTTTTATTTGTCAAAAATAAATTTTTTTAAAAAGAAATAAAAAGATTTAAACGCTTACAGACACTGGTAACCGTTGGTTTATGTAAACAGGAGTCGGAACTTTTCTTCTGTACCATTAATTGTGGGAATCGGTTCCAGAATCGATTCTTCGCCCAGATCTAATTGTGCCCTTAATCAATGTTTTACAGTAAAATCCACACAAAAATGTGTTTTTAAATGGACATAAAAGGTATGAGCCAAAAAAGAAAACAAGAAGAAAATTGCCCGTCTGCACCAAAAATGCCAATGTCTTTGATTTCAGTATTTTGATCACCACAATGCCTCACAATTATATTCCCATGGCAAAAAAACTTAACAAAACAGTCAAAACAAATTTTTGCTGCGAAGCATCTGTGAATAACAAATTCTTTTCATGTTACCGCATCAAAACATTACAAATATACATTTTAAGAACAAATGTGAGTCCTACTGTTAAGAAAGAATATTCATTTGTGGGTGATTTTGAAACAAGACTGAGCTACTGTTCGGTAGAAATCTTGAAGCAAGATAATCTATTTTTGTTAATATTACTGACAACCAGACAAAATTAAAGGGACTGACCTGACCAGTTGCTTCTTCGGCACCCAACATCCGAGCTCTGATCAGACCTTGACGCTCAGGGCTCCGAACCAGCTTCACTTTCGGCAAGGTAGAAATTGTGTTTTCAAGCTCAGATTTCAGGTGCTCTTGGTAAACAAAATTCAAAATTACTATTAACAACAGCAGTCTTGACAGAATTCTGGTGATATCCTTAAGATCTTTGATAAGAGAAATGTGACTGGTTGGGGGAAGAAGAATCCATGTGGACATTACACTCTAGGAAGCCCATATCAATGAATGAATGAAGGCTGTTATTGCAATAACTATATAACCAGTGTAAACCAGTTAAAAACTAAATAAACAGAATTGGCCAAAACATAAACGGTACACTACAGATACAAGTAATACAGCCATACAATACACAACAAATTTTAGAAATTTATACAGTATAACACGCATAGGTCAAACACAGAGGACTTGAAATCACACATCCGTCGAACTGTGCCTGTGGTTCCATGTTTTCTTCTTTATCTTTGTAAGATATCCCTCGAACTACGAATCTCGTGAACTACGGAGGCCGGTCCTAACGAATTCGAGCTATCCATGTCATACTGTGTAGTTTAAACTTTTCTCCTAGATACCCATACGCTCAAACTTAATGTCTTAAAACGTACATCAATCAGAAAGGAGTTCAGCATAAAATTTCACACCCAAAGTCCAATATATATCTGTCTTTTATACGTACCAAAGGTGCTGAAGTCATCCACAAGAATAATCTCATGAATTAAATGCTCTGATGAACGTGCTAGAACAGTGTGCACAGTGCGCAACAAAGCAGATCTGGCCTCATTGTGAAAGCAAATGATGATGCTTGCACTTGGCAAATCCACAGGGTAATGCTTTTTCCTGCATCTGCAATACAGATCATAGGTCACTCAGGAAAAGGCTGGGAGTGTTATCATAATGTAAAAAAGCAGAAACAGTTAAAATCACAATTTAAAAAAAAAAAAAAAAGCAATACAGCGTTGTCCTCTTTTCAGCTCTTTCACGTCTATACCTTTGATCAAAATAGGTTTGCTTGATTATTTAACACTGATGTTACAAAATGACTGTGATTGGTCACTTGCATGGCCATAACCTATCACAACAAGGGAATGACTTGCATCTTTGAATAATGGAAAAATATTGTCATAAAAGGTGTCACATGCTTCCCAGAACCTTACATCTCAATACTTGTGAGATGCTGAATTCTCAAGAAAGGACTCATTCCAGCAAAATGTATTCAAGAATAAAACAAATCTATGGTTTCAGCACCATGACACTATACAAACTACAACAGTTTATTCTTCACATTCACAAACATTCCTTTTACTGTCAACCAACCAGGTGGTCAATTTACTGACTGAACCATCTTAAATATTTAATATTTTGTATACAAGTCATTTGTAAAAGTATTGCACTTGAAAGAAAATTACTTTGAGTTTCTGACATCGGGAATTGGTCTGGTGTAGCTCAGTTTCGCACTCAGCATCTCATTGAAAGCATGGTTGTGATACCCTGTAATCAACACAAAGAGAGGAAAACAACATTTAACACAGATCAGACATTTTGATTGCTTTAGATTTAGAGTTAAAAGTTCTCAGACAAAGTCAGATAAAGTCAGTGTTTGAGCCCGATTTTAAACCCAAGGTACAAGGAAAAAAAAGCGAGTGTATTGGTGCAAAAACAATGTATGGTACAAGATGACTCAAAATTTAAAAAAAAAGCTAATGTAATTAATGCAATAAATGTAATTGCATAAGATTTATGCCCCCTACTGTCTAGATCATATAGGAGGCAGGCTGCTTCCACCCTGCTGTCATGGATAACATGGGCTGATAGGAATACAACGTCCGCACAGAAAGATGGGGATACTCCATAAAAATTCTCTCCACATGTGGAATCGAACTCAAGTCTTTTAAGTATCATGGCTAGGCACCTAACACTACACGACAGACTCTGGTCAAGTAAAAGATTAAGACTTTCTTCAAATACATGCTGAAATAATGCAATTATATTTTTTAAAAGAAATTATAATCTTTTACTCTGATATGCAATTAGACTAGACCAGACGTACTTTCATATACATATAGGCACTTTTGGATGAAAATAATTACTTACCAGCATCATAGTTTCTCTGATCTTGTGCTGTATTAATTTTTCCAAGTTGCTGCAAGTAACTTTCATCGTATATTTTTCTTTTGCTGGGGTTACCTACAATTTAAACGAAGAGCACTTTATGCATTTTGAAATGTAGTACTACGCTTAATTGTGATCATCAAAACGTACATTATTAGTTTGCTCGTTATAATGAGCATATCAAAGTACAAACACTAAATTATCTTTCATTCATTCCCCCAGCCATGTTTGATGACGAAATAAAAAACTACCAATAAAATAAGTGCAGCACACTTTGCATTGCTTATACTGTCAACAACGTTTTCCTCTGGGGTGAATTCTAGGATCAAAAACAGACTTGAAGCACCTATGCAGGGGATACATATTTATCCTTTAAATGAAGCACATTGCACTTTAAAAAGGCAACAAATGCTACATGATAGAGCATGTGTAGATCATCTTTGAAAGACCAGATAGTGTCAATAACAAAGCTCCCTCATATCTTAGTGACCTCGTACAGATTTATGTTCCATCTAGATCACTAAGATCAGGCGATCAGTATCTTTTAAGAATTCCTAGAAAGGGAGGTAAAAAATTAGCTGAAAGACCGTTTGCCCACCTTGCTCCATCAGTTTGGAACTCTATTCCCCAACCCATGAGACATACAACATCTGAGTCTAAATATAAAAAATCTTTAAAGACACATTTAATGACATCATTTTTATGTCAGTTGATTCATGTTCAGTTTAATGTTATGTAAAGGACTATGTATCCATTTATGTATTTTTACGAATTGCATTGAGTATATTATTTTATTATGTATGGGTATGTGCTCATTTTGCAATGGTGTGTAAGCATGCGCGTGTGATAAGCAAGAAGATGTGTGTGTGTGTGTGTGTGTGTGTGTGTGTGTGTGTGTGTGTGTGTGTGTGTGTGTGTGTGTGTGTGTGTGTGTGTGGCATGCATGCATATGTGTGCGTGTATGCAGTGCGTGAGTGTGCGTGTGAGTGTCTGTGTGTGTGTGTCTGTGTGTGTGTGTATGTGTGTATGTGTGTGTGTGTGTGTGTGTGTGTGTGTGTGTGTGTGTGTGTGTGTGTGTGTGTGTGTGTGTGTGTGTGTGTGTGTGTGTGTGTGTGTGTGTGTGTGTGTGAGTGTTGTGTGCGTGAATATTGTTCGTACATGCATTTATGTAAAGCGCCTAGAGCTGTGTTCACACAGGAGCGAGCGCTATAGAAATGATCTTCATTATTGTAAAATCAATGTTTGCACAAGTATAAAAGATATCTTTTGCAGCTTTTTAATCTTAACCTCACTGAAGCCACAGCATCAATGTTCATATTAAAAGAAAAAGGAAAATCATTGAGAAAAGTACACTACTGGTTTTGCACTCAACTGCTACCATCGCTGAAAGTACTTATATGGCTTTTCATAGTTTCTTAGAAAAGTAATACTTTCAGCTAGATGGTAACAATCTCTAAGCACATTAACTTCACCTGTGAATATATAAAAGACAAATGTTATTATAAAAATAATTCTCAATGAGGATTTTACGTTTACAAAATCAAATTTAAACAAAAAGCACTTTAAATAAAAAAATTAAGTAACCCATCAAATTCAAAGACGTGGCACACTTACCTGGTTGAATTTCTATTTCATTATTCTTGATTGCATCTTGCTCATTCTGCACCTCACCATAATCAAAAGGGAATTCGTCATTAGGCAGCTTATCATGAAGTCCAGACTTTGACAGCAGTCTCTGTTTGTGCCGTGTGTACACACCCAAGAAGTTCCAGTATAAGACAAACCAAAAAAAGATACTGAAAACTACAAGTATCAGAATAAGTCTGGAACGTCTCAAACGCACCATTTTTCCAGTAGAAAGGTAATGGAATGTTTTATTCAGCTTCCCTTGACTTGAAACATGCTCAAAAAGCCATGAAGTACCCTGAAATAAGATGCGGGAGAAGCTACATAGAGTGAAAACTAAAATCTTCATTAACTTGCCATGCTTAAACTATGCACTCAATTGGTTAGAACTTCTATTATTAAGGCATGGTTTGCTCCTTCTTTCCTATCAAACATCTATTGTCCTTATCTCTCCTCCTTTTATGTGTTTGTTACTCTCTTGAAACACTTCTAATCTTTGGCACTTATATGACCTTATAGTGTTGCAAGTGCCGTAAAACTCCTTTTAAAACTTAACTAAAACAATGGTTTCATTTATTAAATTAAATATTCATTTTACAGCAATTTACTATCTTGTCAACAGTATTAAATTAGTTCAATGTAACATAGCAATGTCAACATGGCACATTCAGAAGGAGAGAAAAAGGTTTGAAAACTGAGAAGTGAGGTAGGGAGAGAGGGAGGGAGCGGGAGAAAGAGGGAGAAGGTGAGGGGTAGGGGGAGGGAAAAGGAGAAGGGAAGGGAAAGGGAAAGGGGGAGGGAAGAGAGGGAGAGAGAGAGAGAGAGAGAGAGAGAGAGAGAGAGAGAGAGAGAGAGAAGGAAAGATACTGAGAGTGTGTGACATCATGCGTCTTCTCTGTTTGGTTATAATAGAAAGGAGTTGGTTCTCGCCGTGTGTGGTTTGTCTAAACTAAGACGCTATTTGTTTTATCATGGATGAAGACAGAGAAAACACGCGCTGTTCTGGTGTTGCTGATGAAGAAAAACGTTTTAAAAAAAGGTCTTGTCACTTTCGCCCGCTTACTAAAAGGGACACCGTTTTTGTTTTTAACCGTAGGTGTTATTTTACTCCACTTCCAACATAATTTGATCATCTAGAAGACCTGTCTGCCCTGGCCAATCCGGGCTAAGTGGGATACAGCATTCCAACAGAATGACCGAAATATCAGATACAAACTCTCCTTTCTGGGAATCGAACTCAGATCTCCTGCAGGCGACGGCTTAGCATTTTATCGCAACATAACGCATGTGGGTAAGCTATTTTTCGGATAAGAATAATAGGGAATAGAAGTTTAAGGCCGAGGCTGCTTAAAAGGATTGTATCAATTCATTCCATCTGTAACGGAGGAAAAAAGGCATTAGTGAGTTATTAGCGGGAACCACTGGTAGTTCCCACTTCCGGTCTTTCCCTTTGTTGTTTCTATTTGCCTTTCTTGCTTTTTCCTTGTACTAAAGTGGCCGTTGTAGTTTCGGTTTACAAATATACTTTATTAAAACTCTGACCCCCTCCCCCCT